AAGCTCGCCAAGTTGATCGTTTACATACACTGGTGTGCAAAACTTGAGGACGAGATAGATGAAGTAACATACTTTATTGGCAGCTTTATGGACCGATTAACGGTTCCTGTCAATTGCTTTCTGTACTGCACTGTAGCAGCGCTTGATCGATGTTACGTATTTATCCCACCCTGCGCCCGTGCGATTGCGTACAGCAGGCGATTACAGTACTCTCACGGCTAGTTCCGCTATCGTTGGCACCCTGTTTTCGATTGAATAACTACGGGTAGAACTTGTGATGAGAGGAAATAATAAGACTAGATGACTTATATCTAGTCTAGCAGTTTTTTGCATATATCTTCGAGATGTCAGCAGTGAATATTTGTGGTAGTGGACATCAGATCAAAAAAATTCCTATCTCCTATGCAGCAAAAGTGGAAGCGAACACTGAACATAACATTTCATGCAAAATGATTGGAATCGTGAAGAACAGTTTTCCCATTGATAGCGCAATAGTTAAGCTTTTGCTCAGAGCTTACGTAAAGAACTGCTATTATCTTCCAACGCAGAAGCTGTTTGGCGAATAAAAGCGCCAAGCCATCGTGCTCCTCCCCACCCCCTGCTGGTCCCCCTAGTACTAGGGCTTGAGTCTAGGGGGATGTGTAAGCAATTTTCATTACCCTCAAAGTTCACCCTCTTCTCCAAGGCTCAGTCAGCGTGGGCATGCCCCTTTTGAGTACACTAGCGCCTCAAGAAATTGATTCGCAACAGTAACGCAAACGCTCCTGTAAGCGGATTATCTCCAATGGAACTGAATTACATTTTACGGCATCTTTTACAGAAAGAATGAACATATCCCATGGCCTATCATCTACAAGTATGCGCTCTCACTTTCAGCACAAGTCATCCTCACAAGGATACCTCCGTATCAGATTTCTATGTCTATGGAAATATCTACAAGTGCTAATAAATCAACTAACAACTCGAAAACAAGGTGGCCGTGAGACGCAACTACTAAGCAGTTCATGATGAAAACTATCTCACGAATTAGAACTCTCTTCCCTCAGGTGCCAAGTAAACTTCGTCCCCGAGTCCCTCACTGCACTGGTACAATGCATGATGGCATCAATGATTGTTCTAGTGCGGAACATTATAAATACGCTAGCACATTACCCTATTTTGCATGTTAAGAAGTAAATGACATGAGGAATTAGAGTGGTTTCCAGGCGCGCACATGGTGTTCCGAACGATGTGTAAAACATCTCTCGGTACCCGTCACCTATCTGAAAGGAGAAATGCATGAGCTCAACTCAGTACAATATTCGGAGCTGTGCTAGTTATGAATTGATTAGTCTTCCCATTTCCTTTCATCACGAGCCCCGCCTGTGATCATCAGTTACAAATGTCAACGCCAGTAGAACTAGGCGTGGGTGTACTGTAATCGCTTGCGGTACGCAATTGCACCGGCGCAGGGTGGGATATATACGTAACATCCTCTTTATACGTATGGTTATGTTCTATGAGTTATGTTACTCGTCAGTATCACATCATGGAAAAGTTACTCTCGTCCTTAAGTTTTGCACACCAGTGTAGTACGCTTTTTTGGAGACCGCTAAAATTGTACCTCGCATTTTCAGCAGCGAGGTTTTATCTTGAGCTTGCGTTATTCAGAAAAGGCGATTTAGTTCAGCTTACATGACAGCGCTCTTGTCTACCTGCATTTGATGCATGAGCTTCAACGTAACTCATAACTTTGGATGTGGAGCTGTATTTCCTCTTACAATGATGTGTTTCAGATTATTCACCTGAAGCGATTCGAATTTTTGAGATCTGAAGGACGTATGGGAAAATGCAAGCGAGTCATCACATTCCCACTACGGCAGTTTGATCCCGCACCATTTGTGGATGGTAACGGCGAGAAAAGCAAGTACGAGTGCATAGCGATTGCTGTGAGTTCTTCCTCCTGTAGATACCATGACAACAGTGTAAGAGTTGATCCCAATCAAGCGCGTTCCCAAGGATTCTACGATAAGAACGAAGGTCAAAGAAGGGGAAAATTGCATAGTTGGGAGACAGGCGGACCTCCTGAGGGTGCGGACTGAAGCGAAAGATTTGACCTCGGCGATCTAGCATGGCTCACTCTTGGCGCGGTTGGCGGGGTACGCCCACCGACTATCTAATCACTCGCCGCAGGTCTATACGTGGCGAGTGATTAGATAGCAGAGAGAGGGCACAGCGATGAGAGTCGCATCAATGCGAAATCAACGGGCAAGGAAGGGGTCCCATTTCTCGGGTTCTGGGCCGTTTCTCATGGTTCTTCCTTCTTTCGTGTACCACTCACCATCCCTAGGTTAATTTGAAATGGGTTGCCTTTCCAGCGTGAATTCGTCCTTTAATTGAAGGTAGCCTTCCACTGGTAGCTTTCCCGCGAATTTGAGATGTCATGCAAGTGCAAGATTCTCATGTGAAATATGAGAACCTATCAGATTTTGGGGCTCACTACTGCAAAACTGGACAGCTTTGTGCTAAGGAGTAGTTGTGGTATTGAGAACTCATTATTGTCATCCAGAACGCGTTGCGAGACTGTACTGCTAAATGATCAGTGATAAACTCCCATTTTGCTGTTGGTTTTGAAACCCGTTTTTGTTCACAATCGCTTAAAGTAATTCTTAATCTTACCTCGGATCAGCTTCATGGTCCTCTAATCAGTTGTTAACACTTTTTGTCAAATGTTTCAATTCAATTCAATTGATATCTTTCAGAACCACTATGGACAGTTGTCGTCGGGACATTTCGTGGCGTATGCTCGTGGTAATGACGAAAAATGGCTATTGCTCAACGACTGCTCTGTCAGAGTGAGTGTGTCTTACTCTGTTATGTTCTTTTTGTAGCATATTTTTTCCTTTTGAGGAAGTTACGGAAGAAGAGGTAGATCGTGCCGGTGCGTATCTTTTGTTCTTCGAGAGGAAGGATTGACATCAATGTGCAAGTGAGGTGGGCGCCAGAAGTCCGAGAGGATCTATAGAGGGTTTGGCATCAGGATCTGCAATAAATGCCCTTTACATAGAGCACATGCTAATCCGGATTTTTTTCCGAAATCAGTCCGAATTTAGCTTTTATATTGAGTCCAGCGGTACAAATCTTAAATATTATTTTGACTCATCTTGTATTTTTTGTTCAAATTCCTTTGCTCCTTGGGCAATCAACAACCAGAAACGAGCCCAATGTCACGGGAAATACGCTACAATCATAATCTCGCCATATCATATTAATGTTTGTAAAGTCAGAATTCCCCGTCTTAATTACACGTTTTGGTTGTGGTTACACAAATACCGTAATCTGTGGTAATTTCGTACTACAGCATTTGGGTCTGGGCTGAAACTCTAACAGCGGTCATGTAACTATCGTAGGAAACGTCGGTGTTATGGTTCCAATTTTTGTGCAGCGGATACTATACAATTTTATGAGGTGTACCATAGTTGTTGGACATGATGATCGTCGCGCGTGATAGGGGGCCGTATCCTATCCTTCCCCTAGGAGGCCGCACCCCCGCCGTTGATTCTTAATGTCAGAGACGGGGTAGTGTCATAGTATCCGCCATCGAACGCGTGATGTTATAGATCCCCTCCCCTGTTGCAACTTTTCTTCTCTGGGGGTCGCGCTGCCTGTAGTCTAAAAACCCCGAGTATGGCTGGTCCTCCCCCAACCATAGGATAGGATCACCTGCGGGGGACGCATCCCCCTGGGGAGAGGACAGGGTACGGCCCAGGATCGACTTGTATGTGCTTGGACCGAAGCACTTCTGCATGCATAGTACCAGTTAAGGGCTATCATTTACGACGCAAAAACCGCGGACAGCGCTCGACTTCCATGGAGTCATATCCGGTCTTCCCCTAAGAAGTGCGCGTCCCCATACCCTCGATCTACCCTTCTCCTTACCTACTATGTTTCTCCTCTATAACGCAACCCTGAGCTAGTGAAGATGGAAGATCGAGGATAGGGGCGCATTTCTCTCGGAGCAGGATAAGACACGGCTCTTGTTCTGGTGAGCGCTATGTTCTCCATTATTTTTGTTGTACAAAATGTAGCTCAAAACTCTGTGCTACCGTCCCCGGCGCTACGCTGATGGAGACATATTGCCTAATTCTAAATTAGCTGCTTGAATGTTCTATCTGTGTGAGCACAACCAAAACTTGAAAAAAGATTACTTGGATCCATGTCAGCAAGGAGGAAGGAGCTGCAGCAATCCCAATTTTTGCATTGGGAGGAAGCTTCGGTGTCCGTAAATCATTTCGTTCTCACTTTCTCACACTCCAGAATTTCCTTCGACTGCCAAAATTGAGATTGCTGTGGGCGGCATCAGCGGTGCACCCCTCCTTGG